TAGTTAGATCATAATCTGAGGTGTGAGACTTTTTCCCTCTTGAAGTTTTTGTCCAAGGTCTTGGTCCAGGTTGAAAGGTAGAGCCTAATTTTTACCCACTTCCTGACAGTTAGGGAGGAGATGTTTTTCAGGTTGTGCCATTATTGTCATCATTATTACTATTTTTTTTTTTTTTTTTTGAAGGAAACAGCAGAATATTACAGCCAAGGAGTAGAGATAATGTGGTGGTAACTTCTTCCCAGAAACGTTGTATTGGAGGTGGTTGTCATTTGTATTGAGTGTACATTGAGTGCATATGTCTGATGCAGCAAATCCCATTATGTGCCTCTTGTGCTGTGTGATCCGTGTTCTGTGGATGACTTTGTATTGTTTAGCTTTATTTTGGTATTTTTGGACATGCTAAAGGTGTTATTACAGATTTTATTCCAGAAGTGGTCATCTGAATATTGAGGTCTTTTTTTCCACTTGTCTATTGGAATGTGGGGTGCTACAGTAGAGTCTGTGGAGTTTATTAGATTATACAGTTTTGAGAGCGGTTTGTTTGATTTTGTAATTTTATTTATGCTATCCAGTAGTCGTAGTTGTTGTTCAAAGTGTGATATCTACTTCTTCTTGACCGAGTGTTTTAATTGGATATATTGTAAGTATTGTTGTATCTCAATGCCATACATGTCAATAAGCTGTTGGTATGTTATGTGATTGCTATTTCTTGGCCTTCAGTTTGCTCTGTGTTGATCCATGGATGGTGGTGATAAGTTGCATGGATGAGGTGTATTATTCGTGTGTCCAGTGTATTGAACCATTTTGCTGTGGGTTGGGTTGGGATCATTACGAATAAGTAATTTATTTTTGGTAATATCATCATTTTTACTGTAGCTATACATCCTATGATAGATAGTCGCAGTGTCATTATTGGTTTAAATCATCTTGTACTTGTTTTTAGTAGTGGGGTGAAGTTAAGGTGGATCAACTCAGCTTGGTGGAGAATTCTATACCTAAATATGTGATGTTGCCAGTAGTAAATGGTACTGTAGGTGGGGGATGTGGGATGAGAGCCCTCGGAAGATATTGGCAGGACAGTAAATTTATTCCAGTTTATTATATAATCAAAGATGTTGAAGTATGTGTTGATGATTTTGCAAGTTCTTGCATTGACTTATTTGGATTTTGCAGGAATAGGAGTACATCATCTACATATAAGCTAATTTTATGTGTTATGTTATTGGTGTGGATGCCTGTAATGTTATTGTTTTTACGTATTGCTGCTGCTAATGATTCAACGGAGAGTGCAAACAGTGAGGGTGAGAGCGGACATCCTTGTCTGGTGCTTCTGTGGAGTGTGAAACTTTGTAAAATACGGTTGTTAAAGGGGCAATAAGCGAAATTCATCATTTCTAGATTGAAGGAATTAAAAAATTGCTATGTGAAGAACTAGAGGTGTAATTTCATCTGGAGTATAGCATGACCTCACACACCCTCTCTCTGTGTTGATCTCCAGCCCATTGTTTACAAGCCGGTACGGCTGCGCGTTCATGTGCCCGCCAGGCTCACGGGCTCGCGGTGAAGAGTTGGAACGTTAGCATAGCAGCCGACTAGTGCTAAGGCTAATGTCCCCACGCCAGAGCTCGCCGGAGCCGAGAAGCAGGCTCCCGGAACATTAGCATAGCAGTCGACTAGTGCAGGCTAATGTCCCCACGCCAGAGCTCGCCGGAGCCGAGAAGCAGGCTCCCGGAACGTTAGCATAGCAGCCGACTAACGCTAATGTCCCCACGCTTCTCGGCTCCGACTCACTGAGCCTGGCGGAGAAGCGTGAGCCCGGCTCCCGGCTCAGTTGGAGCGTTAGTGTGGCAGCCGAGTAAGTGCTAATGCTAACAGGAAAGCAGGGAAATAGCTAAACACAGCAGAGACCGAGAGTGAGTGAAAGACATTGCTAACTGCTAAACTAAGTTGGCTGTTTAGGTTTTATTTCCTCACCCCTGTGGTGAGTGAATCTGCCTACAGTGAAAGCGAGGCTAACCGGTGCTTCCTCCTCAGGCTCCACTTCAGTCAGCTACTAACACACCCAGTTAGCCTCCGCTAGCTTCCCAGCTAGTGGCTCTACGTATGGATCCAACCGGAGCACCAAGCCCTGGTTTGTTATTCAGGTTAATGTGGGAAGAAGCAGCGGGTATATCGGGCAGCTGAGCGAAGTGGAGCTTGCGGAAGAAACACCGGGACTGTCTGGATGTGATAGTCTGTGGAGGTGCTGCGGTACTCGCCGGCACAGACGAGGCGAGCGGGGGGGTTGTTGGAGAGCAAAGGCAGAGGGAGGAGTGGCTCATGACACACTTTGTTTTGCTCTACAGGCAGTGCACAACAGCGAACCTAGCGGTGAAACGATTTCGCTTATTGCCCCTTTAATCAAAATTATGGCACTTGGAGTTTTGTAGAATGTTGTGATCCATTGAATAAAAGACTCTCCAAAACCAATTTCTTTTCAAGGTTTTTATGAGGAATGTCCAATTTACTTTGTCAAATGCTTTCTCGGCATCTAGTGAGAGGATGATAGTGTTACAGTTGTTTTGTTGGACTATACTAATCAAGTTGAAGAGACTGCATGTGTTATTTGATGAATGTCTGCCTTTAATAAATCCTGTTTGATCTGGGTGAATGAGGGATGGGATAACTAATTCAAGTCGGGTTGCAAGTGCTTTGCATGGGCTGGACTTTTTTTTTTAATCTTATTTGCCATTTTGGTGATGATGTTTGCCTACAGTGTTTTTAAAATTCTGTGGGGAGTTATTTGCCCTACACTTAAAGAAAATTAAGAGAGTTATGGTTAATAATGTCATAATTAAAACAAGTCTGCAAGCCTGGCAAGCAATAAGAAAGCTGGAAGGTCATACAAATACACTGTCTCCTCTAGCTCCCGTATACTGTAACATTGATTTTGCCCCAGCTTGCCCAGACGGTGGGTTTAACATCTGGAGAGATAGAGGGATTTTAACACTGGGGCATTTATTTCATAAAGGAGTGATGCTCCCATTCACAGAAATCGAAAAGAAGTATGACCTACCCCCCAGTAACTGCTTCAGATTTTTCCAAATTCGTAGCTTTATCCAGGATCAAAGCAGCCATGTCTTTGACTGCAAGACTTCGAAAATAGAACGCTTACTTCTCAATAGAGGCAAGAAATCAGTCCTTGGCCAGGGGTATGCTGAACTTAATCTTGCTAGTGATATGACCACAGACTATCTGCGACAGGTGTGGAATAATGATCTTGATCTCACAATGGATGAAACAACATGGGCAGAAATTTGGCAATTAGCAAAGGAGATCTCTATATGTAACAGAACCAGAGAGAGCCAGTTTAGGATATTGCATCGCTTACAGGTTACCCCTCGGCTGAGACATAAGATGAACCCAAGTTTGACAGAAATGTGCTTGAAGTGTCATGTGGAGGTGGGGAGTTATACGCACTGTGTTTGTTCATGCGTTGAAGGGTACTGGAGTGAAATTATTGATAAACTCAATTTGATTTTTGATGTCCACCTTAAACCTGGGCCTGAGGTTCTGCTCCTTGGCTTACCTAGCCTCCAGATTAAATGCTCCGATCAAAGAAGGCTGTTCAATATTCTTACATTTGCTGCACGGAAAAATATATTGTTTAAATGGATTGATAATACACCTCCTACAATTATAGGATGGCATAAACTGATATTTGAGTTAATACCAATGGAATATTTAACATACAGATTCAAATGTAAAACGGCAGTTTTCTTTAAGACTTGGACCCCCTTCTTTAGATATGCTGGTAAAAGACTCACAAATATTATTGTAGGATTTCCAATAAAACCTACCCAAGTTCCACTTGAGCTTATGGCTGACACGTGTTCTCTAAAAAGTGAGTTCTCCACAGTAGATTGTCTTTCAGATTTATTCGACAAAAATACCCCCCCAAAAAAAGGCATACAAAATCCACAGATAAGGTAAACTGCATGTATCTTGTCTACTCGCCTGGACACGGTCCTAACAAATCTCAAACACGGTGTGAACACGGTCAGAAAACCGTGAGCTCCTCTCCCTCTCAAGTCATTCACTAGCTTAGCTTCTAAACACCGTGCCTCAATAAGCTCGAACCTTCTTAAAGCTACAGGCTCCTATTTTTATCTACCACATGGGAACTATTAACGACATTATAAAATGAAATACCAATGTTTGTGTGTTACAATATTAGTGCAAATATTAACTAAATAATAATTATGACTTAAATTAACATTTTTAAAGGCAATTAAATCATGAATCTAACATTAAATCCAAAATATAATCAATTATGAACTTAAATTACTATGAAATACTCAAATTATTCATATGGAACCTACAATTATCTTAGGGAATGATTGACTGCAACACTTATAATTGGCAAAATGACATCTTTGGGTCATAGGGTCAGATTTCTACTTGCTTGGTGATCAATGGTCATTTATTTATTACTCATATTTTGTCTTATGNATAATTGGCAAAATGACATCTTTGGGTCATAGGGTCAGATTTCTACTTGCTTGGTGATCAATGGTCATTTATTTATTACTCATATTTTGTCTTATGAAATATGTTAGAAATTTTAAATACTTTAATTTTTGAAAGCATGCATCCTTTTTTCATTTATTTCTCTCAAGACTGTTGGTTGTTGCATCACTGTCAATTATAATGGACTGAGCGCTCCTATATGTGCATATGTTTATATAGGTGCTATGACACCTCCCACCTTATACCTGTACACCTGTAAGATATTATTTTTCCTAGTAGGTAGTGGGCTATGTATCTTATGTCAAAGATTTCAGTAAGATGTGTAACTCCCGTGGCCATTGTTGGCCATTTAATTGTAATAAAAATATCTATGAAAAAAAAATTCTGTGGGGAATCTGACATTTTTTGTACTGCCTTTTTGTATTATATGGGTGTTAATGGTCAGTCTAAAATGTCTGCATGGTCTTTTGCTAATGTGGATAATGTAATGCCATCTCTAAAATTTTCTATTTGCTGAGTTTTTTGCCTTGTTGTTATTGTATAGATCAGTATAGCATTGTTTGAAGACGTTATTTACAGTTTGTTGATCATTGGTGATGTTTCCTGTTGAGATGAGTGATTTTTCTATATTGCGGTTGAGTTGATTTGCTAGATATTTGCCAGATTTGTCATTATTTTATAATGGTTGTATCGTAATCGATTACTGTTATGGGATAAATGTTTTCATGTGGGGCTTTTGTAGCTCCAAAGCAGGGAATGTGGTGTGCTGTGTAACATGGCTTTTAAGGATTTGTTATGAAACTGACAAATCAACAATGTTTTTGGACTTGGTGGAGAATATTTTAGATCTTAGTGTAGCAGCATAGAGGTGCTTATTGTCATTGTTTACAATGTGCGCCGCTGGGGGCTGCTAATGAGGTGGGCCGGTATAAAAGCGGCAGTCCTCCCACTGGTTCTTCCTTTGCGCTCCCATCGTCGCCTCTGCGTCACTTCCGGGTCGGAGGTCGTCTGGTCCGACAGGTATGGCTGCACGCTGCTTCACCTCGCTGGCCGTTTGTTTGCCCACGTGCTTAAGGTATTGGTGTTGTGTTGTAGGGCGACTGTCTGTGTGTTGCTCTGGCCCCCCTGTATGCGCTGCTGCGTTTGTTGGCTGTGGTAAGTGTCCTCTCTCTTTGTAGTATAGTTGATGCTATCAGGTGGCTAATGCTAGTGTGGTCGCAGGTAAACGCTGGTGGCTGCATGGAGCCCTCTCTCCCCCTCCCTCCTCTCGTGTGAGTGTGTGTGTGCCCGCGCTGCTGAAAAGGTATGTTATGTGTATTGTAGCACGCACCGCATCATGTTCAGTGTATTTAGCCATGCTAATAGCATTTTTCTTGGTTAGGTGCTAACTGTAGCCAGCTTATCGGGCCGCTGCTGCTTTGTCTCCGCTGCTGCTTTGTCTCCTGTTGTGTCTCCGGCTTGCCTCCATCACGTCTGCCGTTTGTCTCTGCTGCTGCTTGTCCTCACGGCACGGTGGCACGCTGCGGCACTGTAAGCCGCTCCGCAGCTCTGCTTCCGCCATAGGCACTGTTGCTGTTTCACGTCCGGAGCAGGACGGTTGCTCGTCCGCCCGTCGCGGGCTGAGACATTATTTTTAACCGGGGTTTGGTCCCCCGCGTTTTGAGTGAATGAGTGTGTGAGAGTGTGGGTTATATTCTATTAGCTTGTTTATTTTTATATTGTTGTATATATTGTATTGTTTGTATATTGTTAATTTGTTTTATCATTCTCCTTTTCAGTTGCTGGAGGCCGGTGGTGGCGGTGCTGGTGTTTGGTGGTGGTATCCATCCTTCCGTCTTGTCCGCTGTGTTCCTGGGAGTGGGTTGCTTCACTGAGTGTCTGCCACGTGTGCCTGGTGATTTAAGTTGGTTTCTCTTTTTTTGGTGGATCCTTCCCCTTCACTAGTCCTTGTCCACTCACTAGGCCTCAGCCCTGATTAGGTTCTTTCCCCCTCCCTGTGTGAACGTTTTTTTTAAAAGAAAAATGATTGTTTAATAAAGTGTATTTTTTTTTTTAAAACTTGGAACTACGTCTCATGCCCCTTTGAGTAACCGAACCTGTGTGTCTTGTATTGAAGAAGTAATTCCCTGGGTGAAATTCCCAGGGTGGTGTTGTCGAGCCCTTTTCTTGGTAACAGTATTGGCTTTATATCCTTTCACCTCCACCTCGCCACAAAACTTGGCGTTGCCGGCAGGATCACTCTCTTGAACGGCTGAGACGTGTGTTCCTTTTTTTGTGTTGTTGCTGCTGATTTCATCTTGTTGTTTTATTGTGTGCCCTAATTTTGTTGTTCTTTGTATGCAGATTGGAGAACTTGGAGACAAGGCAGCAGCGATTCCTGGCAGATCTTCTGACAGTTTTGGTGAGGTGTCTACTACAGGTTTGGCCCTTGTGGTGCTGTCGCACCATAGTAACTACTTGTAGGACAGTGAGTTTGTGTTAATTATGGAGGAAGAAATACAGGAACTTAGAGAATTGATTGCACAGTTAAAGGCTGATAATGAGCGGTTGCGACAGGGACAGGCTGGCCCTAGTGTTTTACCATCTACCTCTTCGGCACAACCTATTGCCCCTCCCACTTCTAGTCTCCCTGTTTCGGAGAGACTGATTTTTGTGCCCAGAGATAGGAAGTGTCCCACCTTTAGGGGAAGGACAGGTATAGGGTTGAGTGAGTGGATGGAGGAGGTGCAGGCGAGTATGAGGGCCCGGCGTTTATCCCAGTCCGACCAGGCGTTTTTTCCTGGTTGACCATCTAGAGGGAGAAGCCAGAGATGAGATTAAGTATCGCTCTGCCGCAGAGAGAGGACCCTGCTAGAATACTTACCATTTTGCAGGAGCTGTATGGGTGTTCAGAGTCTTATGTTGCACTGCAGGAGGCTTTCTTCTCCAGGAGGCAGCAAGAGGGAGAGACTCTTCAGGAGTTTTCCCTTGCTTTGATGGGCCTCATGGAGAAAGTGAAGCAGCGCGCCCCTGCTGACATGCCAAATGCTGAAGCCCTTTTGAGAGACCAGTTTGTTGAGCACGTCTTGAATAGTTCCTTGCGCCGCGAGTTGAAGCAGTTGGTGCGCCGGCAGCCTAACTGCACTTTGCTTGAGGTTAGAGCGGAGGCGATACGGTGGGAACATGAAGGTTTGCCTGGTGGTGTGAGGGGTCGTAGTCAATCTGTCCCCTCAGTGTATGGTGTCCAGTATGGTGTTCAAGGTGGCCCTCAGGCTGCTGCCCTGCTGTCGTCAGTGTCCGAGATGAATGAAATGAGGGAGATGTTGAAGCGTCAGCAAGAGCAGCTTAATCAGCTCATGGGTAGCATTGCTCAGCTGCAGAACTCCCATCAGTACAGTCGTCCACCTCGTACTGGCCCAATAATATGCAGGCGTTGTAATCAGCTAGGACATTTTGCACGGGAGTGTGAAGGGGTGCGTGTTCATTCTCGTTCACAGTTCCCCTCACGATCCCCTTCTAATCCTGGTCGGCAGTCTCGCCCCCCTTCGGTGACGGAAAACTAGTGCCCACCGAACTGCAGAGCCACAGTTTGGGTGGGGCCGCTTCTGGCTCACAGTCTGTTTCACGTAACTTGGATGCTTCTGGGTTGATTTCGTCTTGTCCCCATTTGGATGTGGACATGGGTGGAGTGAAGGTTCCTTGTCTGGTAGACACTGGTTCTATGGTGTCTACAGTTTCTGAGAGCTTTTTCCGCCAGCATCTTGAGCCTTGGGGCCAGGAGCGCCTCCATTCATGTCATTGGTTAGAGCTTAGAGCTGCGGTGACGGTGAAGGTCCGGGGTAAGAGGGCCTGGCGGATCCCTGGCGGCATCATGAAAATCGTGGCCGCCACATGTTCTGAGCAGTATTCAGGCTCCACAGTATTGTTTGAACCTTTGGATACTGGCTTGCCAGCTGGCTTGCTTGCCTCCCCTGCCTTGGTCCGAGTAATCGGGGGCACGGCCTACATACCTGTCATTAATGTTGGCTCCACTGATGTCGTATTGTATCCTCGCACTGCTGTTGGCACACTGGACTTTGTAAATGTTGTCAGCCTTCCTTCAGGGGTCACGGAAGTGCCCCCAAGTGTGGCCACCGTGTCTTCCCAGACAGCGTCCCCTAGTGTGCAGCAGCAGGTAGAGAACATTGATTTGTCTACGTTGTCTGTTGAGGAACAGGGTCAGGTGAGATCGTTGCTTAGGCAGTATACTCCTGTCTTTTCAGCACACAATGGTGATCTGGGTTGTACAAACCTCATCTCCCATGACATTCCTTTGGTGGATGATACTCCAGTGAGGCAGCGCTATAGGCGCATCCCACCCTCAGAATATGAGGTTGTGAAGGAGCACATCAACCAGTTGCTTGCATCACAGGTCATTCGGGAGAGTAGCAGCCCTTATGCGTCTCCCATTGTATTGGTACGGAAGAAAGATGGCAGCATACGCATGTGTGTTGACTACAGACAGCTCAACAGTAAGACCCGAAAAGACGCGTTTCCTCTGCCACGCATAGAGGAGTCTCTGGATGCGTTGTCAGGTGCTTGCTGGTTTTCAACCCTGGATTTGGCCAGTGGTTACAACCAGGTGCCAGTTACTGAGGCAGACCGCTCAAAGACCGCCTTTTGTACACCTTTTGGATTGTTTGAGTGGAACAGAATGCCTTTTGGGCTCTGCAATGCACCCAGCACCTTCCAGAGGTTAATGCAACGTATCTTTGGGGACCAACAGTGTCAATCCTTACTGTTGTATCTTGATGACATTGTCGTGTTTTCCTCCACTGTGGACCAACACTTGGAGAGACTGAAGGTGGTGCTAGGCCAGCTTCAACAGGAGGGCCTTAAAGCCAAGCTCAGTAAATGCTCTTTCTTCCAGAAAGAGGTGCACTACTTGGGCCATGTGATTTCTGGCGATGGTGTTTCCACAGATCCGAGTAAAGTTGAAGTGGTTGCCAACTGGCTGATTCCCACTACTGCCTCGGAGCTGCGTTCTTTTCTTGGGTTCGCCAGTTATTACCGGCGGTTTGTGGAGGGATTCGCCAAATTGGCAGCCCCTCTGCATAAGGCTGTGGTAGTGCTAAGACTGGTAAGAAGGTCGAGCAACAGCTTCTCAGGTGTTGGACTGACGAGTGCCAGCAGAGCTTTACAACACTGAAGGCTAAGCTCACCAGCGCGCCAGTGTTGGCGTATGCCAATTTTGCCCTCCCGTTCATTCTGGAGGTTGATGCAAGCCATGGTGGCTTGGGAGCGGTTCTTTCTCAGGTGCAGGCAGGCAAGGTGAGGCCTATAGCCTATGCTAGCCGGGGCTTGAGACCCACAGAAAGAAATATGGTGAACTACAGCTCCATGAAGCTCGAGTTCTTGGCCCTTAAGTGGGCCATGACAGCAAAATTTAGAGAGTACTTGCTGGGTAATAAGTGTGTTGTATATACTGATAACAATCCTCTCAGTCATTTGTCCTCTGCTAAACTGGCCGCCACTGAGCAGAGATGGGCAGCCCAGCTAGCCTCTTTTGATTTTGAGATCAAGTACCGGTCGGGGAGGAGTAACACCAATGCGGATGCTCTGTCTCGTCAACATCCCCCTGGCCCTCAGGATGTAGAGGTTATGCTTCCAGGTACTGCCATGCCCAAGCCGTTGCAGCAGGCTTTGGGTTTGAGGAAGCCTGAGGTCATGCAAGCTTCCATTGCAGTCATACCTCAGTACACCACCTCTGAGCTTCGTGCCTCTCAGCAGGCTGACCCTGTTATACAGGAATTGCTTGAACTTTGGAAGCAGAAGCGGCGTCCCAGCCGTGAGGTGCGGGCCTGGCTGTCCCCGTCCACGCTTGTTCTGCTTCGGCAGTGGGACCGTCTGGTTGAGAAAGATGGCATCTTGTACCGTAAGGTGTTTCGCCCAGACGGTGCTGAAGCCGTGTTCCAGCTGTTGTTGCCTAGTGTGTTGACTAGTGAGGTTTTGACCCAAGTTCACCAAGAGCATGGACACCAGGGAGTGGAGCGAACGCTGGCGCTTCTGAGGTCCCGATGTTACTGGCCTGGTATGTCTTCTGATGTGGCCCGATGGTGTCAGACATGTGAGAGGTGTCAAGTGGCCAAAGATGTCCACCCAAGGGCTCATGGGTTCATGGGACATTTGTTGGCATCACGCCCTAATGAAATCCTTGCCATTGACTACACTACATTAGAGCCTGCCCAGAATGGTGTAGAGAACGTCTTGGTCCTGACAGATGTTTTCAGTAAATATACAGTTGCTGTCCCTACCAGGGATCAGCGTGCTGCCACTGTGGCCAAGGTTTTGGTGTCAGAGTGGTTTTATAAGTTTGGTGTCCCCACTCGCTTGCATTCCGACCAGGGCCGTAATTTTGAAAGCTCTCTCCTCCAACAGCTATGCAATTTGTATGGCATTGTAAAATCGCGCACTACCCCATACCACCCTGAAGGGAATGGTCAGTGTGAGCGGTTCAACCGGACGCTCCACAACTTGCTTCGCACACTGCCAGTGTCCCGTAAAAGGGATTGGCATGTGTGTCTGCCCCATGTCCTCTATTGCTACAACACAACTCCCCATCAGTCTACAGGAGAGTCTCCCTTTTTCTTAATGTTCGGAGCCTAGACGGCCAATAGATTTCTTGTTGGGTAGAGTTGAGAGTCCTGTTGGTGGGTCCGTTCATGAGTGGGTTCAAGAGCACCAAGCCCGACTGCAGGTGGCTTTTGAAGGTACAAGGGAACGCTTGCAACAGGCTGCTGGTCGCCGAAAGAGGGCCCATGACCAGCATGTCAGAGATCTGCCATTGAGTGAAGGGCAGTTGGTGTTCTTGCGAGACTTCAGTGCAAGGGGGCCCCATAAGACCCGAGATAGATAGAGCTCCATGAGGTATAGAGTGTTGAGGGTACCTAAGGAGGGTGGCTCAGTGTACACCATTGCGCCAGTGGATGACGAAACCAAAGTCAAACGGGTTCACCGTACCATGCTAAAGGCTATCCTTGGAGTGGACTCGCCTGGTCGTGCCTCTTCCCATAATTCACCACGGGTAGAAGGGCCGCCTCCTGAAGAGGAGTGCTCCTTTGAGTATGACTTGCTTGTTCTTGGTCAGCAACCCTCTGTGGCCGCTTCTGCCTTGCCCTCTGCCAGGCCGGCCATGACCACATTCCAACTGTCAGTGCCGTCAGCGGACCCAGACTCTTCTCGGTCTAGCCCTTTAATGGTTCCCCCTTTGGGAGCTTTAACATCTTTAGCTCCTCATTAAGTTGGTTGTCCTGGTTCCAGCCAGATGGCTCCACGCCGGACCACACGGCAAACTGCTGGCCAGCACCCAAATGTACACCGTCTTCCACGAGCAGCTGGAGATGTCCGGGCTGCTAGTCCCCCTGCTCCTGTGTCCAATGCAGTCTCTGCTTTGTTTAGACCTTGGAGCTAGTTTGCCATGTTAGCCTTAATTTGTTGATCGTCGGGACAACGATCCAGGGAGGAGGGGTAGGATGTAGCAGCATAGAGGTGCTTATTGTCATTGTTTACAATGTGTGCCGCTGGGGGCCGCTAATGAGGTGGGCCGGTATAAAAGCGGCAGTCCTCCCACTGGTTCTTTTTTTGTGCTCCCATCGTCGCCTCTGCGTCACTTCCGGGTCGGAGGTCGTCTGGTCCGACAGGGCGACTGTCTGTGTGCTGCTCTGGCCCCCCTGTATGCGCTGCTGCGTTTGTTGGCTGTGGTAAACGCTGGTGGCTGCATGGAGCCCTCTCTCCCCCTCCCTCCTCTCGTGTGAGTGTGTGTGTGCCCGCGCTGCTGAAAAGGTGCTAACTGTAGCCAGCTTATCGGGCCGCTGCTG